TTTTTTGGGGGGGGGGGTTGGTTGTTTTTTGTTTTGGTTTTTTGTTGTTGTTGTTTTTGTTTGTTTTTGTGGTTGCACTCGATGATCTCTGAGGTCCCTTCCAACCACTACAATTCTGTGATTCTGTGATTCTGTGATACCACTGCCTGGTCGGGTTGAAGGCTTCACTGCGCATTCAGAATGTTCTCGTGCTGCAGAGCAAAAAGTCTGCAGGCAAATGTGTGTGGATTTCTCCAGGGTGATCTGGAGGAGGGCCCCTGGGAATGGAGAGTGTTGTTTGGGCCTGTGGAGCACGAGAAGAAGGAGCGTAGCACTGTCAGTTCCTCAGCTTTCCCATCGCTTCCCCGAGGTGTGGATTCTGGCCCTTCTCCCCTTCCTGTGGCCCCAGCTCACACAACCTCCTCTCTGAATCCCCAGCAGGAGGTTGCAGACAGGCAGCAGCTGTCCTGGCTCTCGGAGAAGAGACTCCTGTGGCAGCAGCTGGAACGTCTGCAGCGAGCAGTGGCAAGGGTGGACCAGGAGAAGATGGAGCTGAAGCAATACAACGCTGAGCTCAGGAGGACTCTTGAGGAGGTAAAATATGCTTTGGCTGCCTCTGCACAGCCTCGCAGCCTCTGGAAGATGAGGCATTTCCACAGACAGCCCTTTGGAGTCCTTGCCTTGTTTCCTTCCCTCTTCCACTGGCGCCTGTGGACACACACTTTTGTCTTTTCTCTCTCTTCTGGCACCTTCACAGACGCACATTCCCTGCAGTGTCACCCTTCTTGCCCCGGTGTCCCCAGACATGGGACACTCTTGTGTCAGGAACTCTTTCCTCTTGCTCACTCTCTTCCATCAGCTTCTCCCAGGGCTTTTGACCCCCAGTGACCTCTGGTGCAGTTCCTGGTCTCTGACTAGCCACCTCCTTGCCATGATGTCCAGAGGTCTTGTTGCTCCCTTTTTGGCGGCAGGTTTCTGTGACCCTTTCTCCTGTCCAACGTGCAGGTGGAAAGTGAACGGAGGAGGCTGAGGAGATCTTGCCGAGGTCGGGCGCTTCCAGATGCCTGTGGATTTTCTCTCTCCCAGTCTGAGCAGCACAAGATGCCACCTTCTCAGCAGGTGAGAGCAGAGTCTTACTGGGTGGGAGGAGGCTCTGGCCATACAGAGGAACGGTGGCAGCAGCCCCCAGCATAGACCTCATGGAAGGTGAATGTAGACCCTGGCCTCGACCAGGCTGGAGACCAAAGGGAAATCCTTGCCTTTCCTTTCCAGGAGGAGTCTCCCGTGTGCTGCCGTCGTCGCCTGGCGGAGTTGCAGAGCCAGGTGAGGAGCTCTCATCAGAAGGTGTTGGGGCTGTGCTGATGGGCACAGCTTTGCCCAATGCTCCGGCCCAAGTTTTGTTTTTCTGTGGGGAAGGGAGAGCACCAGGCAGTGGGAACACCCAGTCAGACCCATCCCTTGGCCACAGCCAAACAGCATCATTCACCCAGGTCTAGTCTCGGTAATGCTGACAGGTCAGGCAGGGTGGGAGAGGGGCTGGAGGAAGCTCAGAAAACTGGAACTCACCAGGAAATAGAGAATTGTCTAAGTAAGGGTGTTCCACTCGAGTCTTACTCAGCTTGTTGACCCTTCCCACTTTCCCTTTCCATGCGCTATCGTGATTTTAAGTGGGATGAATCATAGAATCATAGAATGGTTTGGGTTGGAAGGGACCTTGAAGATCATCTAGTTCCAACCCCCCTGCCATGGGCAGGGACACCTCCCACTAGACCAGGTTGCTCAAATAGCCATCCAGCCTGGCCTTGAACACCTCCAGAGATGGGGCATCATATGGGGTTGGAAGGGACCTCTGGAGATCATCTAGTCCAACCCCCCCGCCAGAGTGGGTCTACCTATAGCACGTTGCACGGGAACTTGTCCAGGCGGGTTTTGAATGTCTCCAGAGAAGGAGATTCCACCACCTCCCTGGGCAGCCTATTCCACCACCCTCAAAGTGAAGAAGTTCCTCCTCATGTTTAGGTGGAACTTCTTCTAGTCAAGTTTGTGCCCATTTCCTCTTGTCCTGTCCCTGGGCACCACTGAGTAAAGACCAGCCCCGTCGTCCTGACACCCTCCCTTTTAAGTATTTGTACGCATTAATTAGATCTCCCCTCAGCCTTCTCTTCTCAAGACTAAAAAGACCCAAGTTCTTCAGCCTCTCCTCGTAGGAGAGATGCTCCAGGCCCTGAATCATCTTTGTGGCCCTTTGCAGTCCCCTCTCCAGCAGTTCCCTGTCCTTCTGGAACTGGGGAGCCCAGAACTGGACCCAGTGCTCCAGATGGGGCCTCACCAGGGCAGAGCAGAGGGGCAGGATGACCTCCCTCCACCTGCTGGCCACGCTCTTCCTGATGCCCCCCAGGATGCCCTTGGCCTTCTTGGCCACAAGGGCCCATTGCTGGCTCATGGGCATCCTGGTGTCCACAAGAACTCCCAGGTCTTTTTCCTCAGAGCTGCTCTCCAGCAGGTCAGCCCCAACCTGTCCTGGTGCAGGGGATTATTTCCTCCCAAGTGCAGCACCTACACTTGCCCTTGTTAAATTTCATTAGGTTTCTCTCGGTCCAACTCTCCAGAAACCAGAACAGTTGTTCAGTGCCTTGTGTGACCAGTAGCTTCCTGCTGAGAAAAATGCCTGTGGAACTGAGGTGGCAGAAGCCCTAGTCTCTCTCTGTAGAAAAAGACCTGGGTCACTAAATCCTGTCAACACCTCTCTCCCATCTCCATGGAGTATCTGGGTGTTGTACGTGTGAACGGCAGCCAGAAAGAAACTCCACGTGTTGATAATCTGAGCTGAGGGGAGGGGGACTCTGGGAACCTGTGACTTCCATCCCATGAGGACCAAGTGTCTTTCGGGGCTGGTGTTGGAGGGAGCAACTTCCCCGACAGCCGGTTCCTCAGAGCTATGGCTGGTCCTACCAGTGTGGGCTTGTCTGAGCTCAGCCTTTGGCCTCTTGCAGGTGTCCCTTCTGCAGACTCAGCTGGCACAGGAGCGAAAATACAAGCAGGACTACGTTGAGTGCTGTGCAAAGACCAGCCAGGAGCTTCAAGACCTTCACCAAGAGTTGTCTGACTCCTTGGCAGCTGTGGTCCGGGATCCCAAGGCGGCTGTTCTGGAGGCAGAGACCCAGAAGCTCGATTGCTCTCTGAACCTTAACTTGGCACAAGTATCTCTGGACCATCACTCTCCTGAGAGACAGCCCTTGCATTCAACAGCCAGATTCACCAGGGGTGATGACCTGAGGTGACAGGACCAGTGCACAGCAAAGGGCCTCAGCAGAAGCCAACTCGGGGACCTGCTGTGGCTGGTGAACTGTGGCAGGGGCTTGGTTCAAGGCCTGAGTCCTGAAGTAGAAGTTCTGAGCACAGCGTTGGCTGCAGGTTCCCCAGCAGAAGCAGTGGTGGGACAAAGCTGGTGCTGGCCCGTGTGGATGGGGTGAGCCTGGAAAAGCAGGAGGAACCCAATGAGCAGGTAAAATGTCTCCTTTTCCAAAGCACTCCATGACAGCACACCTCCTCTGTCTGCACACAGCCCTCCACAGGAGACTGTTCATCTCAGTTTCTGCACTGGATACAAAGACCTTTTGTCTCCTTTTATTTTTTCAAATAAATTCTTATTGAATTTTTTTTTCTGCTTTTATTTCTCCAAAACGCTGCACAGGCTCTGAGCAGACATCTCCTTGCAATGATGTCCTGTTGCTCCCCTGTTTTCTTCAGCAGCTACTCCTGGGCCCTACTTGTGGTCTCCCTCCCCCTCATTGGCGAAAGGCAGGGGCAGTGTTGGCTCAGATGGTGACCCAAGGGAGGGAAGGTGGCCTCAAAGAGGTGCCACCCGGCTCTTTTCTCCTGCCAAGTGTCTGAGACGTGAACTCTTTTGGCTTCTCAGTCTCTTATGCTGCCTCGTGGAGTCTCGATTGTCTTCTCCTCAGGTGGTGATCCATCCATAGTGAGCAGAGGGTGAAAGGAGAGAGGAAGCTGAAGAAAATAAACAATCATATATTGTGATATTGCCAAGCCAATCATCAAAAATAAAAATCCACGTGACAGTGTTAGCCCCATATTCAGTAGCCCCTTTCCCCATCCCGTGAGTTGTAATGATCTCGGGGTTGATCCTGCCCAAGAACTGGGACTCTGTCCCTCGAACGGTCCTTGGGCTGCGAAGCGTAGAATAGTTCCCCACTCTGGGCAGCAGTTTCCTTCATGTGAGTGTGAGCTTCTTCCGTGGAGGGAGTGGGGTGTGAACTGTAACACAGCATTCTTCAGCCTGACTTAATACACCACAAACTCCATGGTCTTTTCAGATCAACATCTCTAAGGGCAACCTATTTTGTCACATCATTCTAGAGACCTATTGTAACTGAGTGTTCTTTTCCCAAAGGCATACTGGGTCTGGTTTCTTAATATATATTTGCCATGTAATATTTTCTAAGACAAATGGGTGGCTTTTGAGGGGCACGTCCCCAGCAGCGTGGCCAGCAGGGAAAGGGGTGGGATTCCGCCCCTCTGCTCTGGGGAGACACCCCCTCCTGAAGTCCTTCATCCAGCTCTGGAGCCCTCAACATCAGAAGGACATGGACCTGTTGGATCGGGGCCAGAGGAGGCCAGGAAAGCTGGGGAGGAATTCTTGATCAGGGAGGAGAGCCATAGGATGAGGGGGAATGGTTTTAAACTGAAAGAGGGGAGATGGAGATGAGATCTCAGGAAGAACTTCTTTACTGTGAGGGTGGTGAGAGCCTGGCCCAGGTTGCCCAGAGAAGCTGAGGCTGCCCCATCCCTGGAGGGGTTCAAGGGCAGGTTGGAGGGGGCTTGGAGCAACCTGGTGTGGTGGGGGGTGTCCCTGCCCAGGGCAGGGGGTGGCACTGGGTGGTCTTTAAGGTCCCTTCCAACCAGAACCATTCTGTGATAATCAGCTATTTCAGCTCTGTGACTGGCCCAGTTGGGTTGAGCTCGGGGTTTATTGCTTTTCCTCTGCTTTCTTTTATGAGGTGAGGCAAAGTGAAAACTCCTCTTAGGACACATAGTTGGGATTCCAACTCCGCTCCTTCAAGAATTCTTAAGTGCGTCAACATCTTTCCGTCAGAGCATCTCGAGCACCCCCAGGCTGGGCACCCCATCGCCCAGGAGGGGTGCGTGGAGAGCTTTTGCCGTTGCATCGATCAGATCATGGCAGGAGTCTGGCATCAGGGATCCCATCTGTGGGTACAACTGATGACCTTCGTGCAATTAAACAAGGGGCTCTCTGGGGGTGTTGGTCTTGTATCCGGTGGAGCATCTGTCCCTTGTGTTTGTTTTTGTCTAATTTGCTTTATGGACCAGCCCCATGCGTGGAGAGCTTTTGCCGTTGCATCGATCAGATCATGGCAGGAGTCTGGCATCAGGGATCCCATCTGTGGGTACAACTGATGACCTTCGTGCAATTAAACAAGGGGCTCTCTGGGGGTGTTGGTCTTGTATCCGGTGGAGCATCTGTCCCTTGTGTTTGTTTTTGTCTAATTTGCTTTATGGACCAGCCCCATGGCTGTTGTGTCCTGTCCCTAAAAAATGTCCAATTTGGAACCAAGACTGGCTGTCTTGGGGAGGGAAGGGCTTCTGTTGGATCTTGGCTTTTTTGGATCTGTTGGTTCCCAACCCTCCAACGGGACAAAGAACAAAGTCAGCCACCCTTGGTCGTGGCAGCAATAGGTGTAAGCAGGAGCCTCTCTGCTCTCCGTGCCTTGGCACCGGCTATAAACACAGTCTGACTCCTCTGGGAACCAACAACCTCTGCTGCCTTTTGTTGATGGTAGTTTCTTAAAAAATTGTTACCTATGTGTCTTAGATAAATAGATGTGGAGAACTTCTGCCATTGCATCGATCAGATCATGGCAGGAGTCTGGCATCAGGGATCCCATCTGTGGGTACAACTGATGACCTTCGTGCAATTAAACAAGGGGCTCTCTGGGGGTGTTGGTCTTGTATCCGGTGGAGCATCTGTCCCTTGTGTTTGTTTTTGTCTAATTTGCTTTATGGACCAGCCCCATGGCTGTTGTGTCCTGTCCCTAAAAAATGTCCAATTTGGAACCAAGACTGGCTGTCTTGGGGAGGGAAGGGCTTCTGTTGGATCTTGGCTTTTTTGGATCTGTTGGTTCCCAACCCTCCAACGGGACAAAGAACAAAGTCAGCCACCCTTGGTCATGACAGCAATAGGTGTAAGCAGGAGCCTCTCTGCTCTCCGTGCCTTGGCACCGGCTATAAACACAGTCTGACTCCTCTGGGAACCAACAACCTCTGCTGCCTTTTGTTGATGGTAGTTTCTTAAAAAATTGTTACCTATGTGTCTTAGATAAATAGAACATTGCATGTCAAGCTGATGTTATTTATTTTTATATATATATATATATAAACATAGCTATTTTAATATATAATATAAGGTAAGATTTGGATTAGCAAGATTAGTGTTAATTATAAGTACTTAAGGCAGTTTGTAATGCCCTGCTTATGTGGGAAAGCAGATAAAAGGGTGGGTTAGTGATCAAATGATGACATAGCTATGTGGGGAAAGCGGCTAAGATTTGGGTTTTTTGGTTTGTGAGGAAAGCCTGTTGTGTCATAGAGAAGACCTGCTTTTTAAGAGATGATAGACTTAAAGACAGTTGCTGTGACTCTGGGTAACTAGTATTAGAGCTCTTTGTTAATCTTGGTGCTGTTATGCAAATGGCATTTCTCTTGTTGGATGCCTTAATCACTATTGGAATGTTAAGAACAATAAAAATAATTTCTATAAATATATTAGTAACAACAGAAGGACTCAGGACAATCTCCATCCTTTAACAGATGAAGGTGGTAACAGTGAAAAAGGATGAGGAGAAGGATGAGGTACTTAATGCCTTCTTTGTCTCAATCTTTAGTAGTAGTCAGTTGTTCCTTGAGTACCCAGCTGCTGCCCCTGGCAGAAAACCAAGCGGCAGGGCGGTGTGGGGCAGGGACAGGGCGGTGTGGGGCAGGGACAGG